TGCCGCCAGCTGGTGTCAGCTGCTCCCAGAGTAGCTGCAGCAGGGGCTGGGGTGAGTGGGGCCTTAGCCCCATGGCCCTTTCCCCTCCCCCCCACAGATTTACCTGCTTGGGGGGGGGGGGGGGGGGGGTGTGCCAATGCTGATCGCATAAGAGTGAATTTACCTCACATATAGTGAATTTGGGGTATAAAAAGGGTCATTGTATAAGAGCTAATTCACATATACAGAACCCACATAACTCGAGGGAAACCTGTATGGCACTTTGTTTCATAGATTTCCAGGAGTTTTACAAAGAAGGTTGGTATCATTTCCATTTTTGGGGATAAATGCCGAGCGGAAAGTCTTGGCAATGTGAGCAGTGACACTTCCTTGTTCAGTTCCTTCTGTGTTCAGGAAAACAAGACTTGGATGGTTCTTTGTAAATATGCACCATTGCATGAAACAAACACCTGACTTCAGCCGTTTCTCTTCTGAACAGAAACAACTTTGTGTCCTCAGTTCAGGTGAAGTCTTATGGAAGGAGTTCTGAAATAATCTTAAAAAAAACCATTTCTTGTGTTTCTTCTTTAGCATTTGCAAGAGGGTGACTCCATGGCTGTCTCATGCCAACTCGGCAGTGGTGCTCTCTGCAGTGAAAGTCTTGATGAAGTTCCTGGAGCTCTTACCCAAGGACTCGGACTACTACAACATGCTGCTAAAGAAACTAGCTCCTCCGCTTGTAACCCTGCTGTCAGGAGAACCTGAAGTTCAGTATGTTGCTCTGAGGAATATCAACTTAATTGTGCAGAAAAGGTAAAGACTGGAGTGCTGCCCTCCTTGGGTGCAGAGAAACAGTGCTGGTTGATATGTACAAGCTTACTTGGAAGACTTAAGCTCTAGATGCATCTGTGATGAAATGGTTGACTAGTTGTCACAACAGTGTTCAGCCAGTAAGATTTTTTTTAGTTTTTGGTTTTTTAAGTGGATGATCTAGGACACTATTATTTTCTTTCTTTTCCTGTCATAGTGACAGCCAGAAGGACCCTTCCCTCCATGCAGTAAAGAATCTAAACCAATAGAAGGGATTGATAAACATGGAGCTCTGCTGAATTAGAGGGCATGTGGTTGGTCTCTTTGAAACCAGTCCATTCTTATGTACTCTTCAGATAGATGGTGGCAGCTTGAACTGTACATTTTGAAAGCATCGCTCTGCCACTAGAGCTTTGTGATTTCTTTTTGAACAACTGTTCTCGCATCTGTTTGCAAATCTGTGCTGAACTGATATCAGTGAACTCCCAGCAAAAGCTGAAGTTGATTTAAAAACTAAACTACTTGTGTGTGAAATAGGAAGCCATTTAATTTTCAGGCTTGGGTTGATTCTGTTGCATGTGTTCTCCAGGCCTGAGATCTTGAAGCAAGAAATCAAGGTGTTCTTTGTGAAGTACAGTGACCCCATTTATGTCAAACTGGAAAAGCTGGACATGATGATCCTCCTGGCCTCTCAAGCAAACATCGCCCAGGTCAGCTCCTCAAGGTGCTCTTAGCCCTGCATGCATCCTTGGGATGGCAAACAATGTGAGGGAGGATTTATGTACAAATTGATACCTCCTTAAATTGTTCTCCACTACTGTGCAAGAAATGACAGCAAATCAATGCTCCCTTCAGCACAGTATATTGTTTAGTTACTTAAAAGCAGGAGCAGCACACCTGTTAAGTGGGTTTTACACTTTTGTAGTTGGGTCTCAGCAGAGCTGAGGTTAGAATTTAGGAAACTCTTGACTGTTCATGCTGTGCATCTTCTCTGTCCTGTTACTACATTGCTGAAATGCCATGGTGTGTCCATTCTCTTTGGCATTATTTGCGAGCTCAAAGAGCTAGTCTGCATGAGAGAGCTTTAAGAGCAGTGAGCAAAGAGAAAGCGGGCACAAATTCTCCAGACAAATGTTTTTCTTCTTTTTTTGCAACGCCTTTGTGACATAACCAATTCACATCAGCTCTTTCATACACATGGAACATATGAGAAACAAGAATATAAATGCTCTGCTGGGTTAGACTACAGATCCATCTAGCTCAGTATCTTGTCCCTCATAGTAACAGAGTAAATTCTAAAGGGAAGAGTTTAAGCAGGACATACAGTATCTCAAATGATCCCTCCCCTGCGCCTTTCTCTTCACTGCTTCCAGCATTCAGGGTCCTAGGTTGTCCTAACTTTGAATTTGTACTCTATTGCATTAATACCCACTGAGGGACCTATCCACCATGAATTTGTTCAATCCCCTTTTGAACCTGGTTAAATTATCAGCTTCCAAATGAGGAGGAGCAGATGAGTTTGAAGTAGTAATAATATAAAATAACATATCCCATTTGTATTTTAAATATCTCTAGAACCAAAAAAAAAAGGTTAACCCAAAATTTTCCCAAGAAAGAATTGCTTCTCTTAGGCAAAGTGTCCTAGAACCTTCATGCATCTACCCGCAAGGACTGCTGTTGTGCCCCAGAATTCATGCATCTCCATGCATCAGACTGATAGGCCAGGGGCGTACAAAATGGCAGATCTAGCTGGTAGCTGGACTCTATTTCGTAGCAGCCCTTGCCCACGTGGCTGAGGCTGATCTCCATGGAGACCCCAGCCACAGCTCACTGTGGTACCAAGGCTACAGTTGCCATGGAGACCAGCCCCAGCTGCACTGGCAGGACGTGCGGCAGGGCAGGGGGCTGCTCCGGTGTCACTGGGATCTTGCAGCAGGGGCAGCTTGGTCAGGGCCAGGGCAGAGCCACAGTCTCAGCCTGCATGTTCTTGGCAGGCGTGTGTAGGCAGCAGATCGTGCCTTGGCCCTTGCTCGGGACCGCACTGTCACCGCTGCAAGGAGCCAGGGCAGAGCCGCGATGCACTGCCTGCAGGCTCCTGCCCAGTGGGCAGTCTGCAGATCACAGCTCTGCCCTGGCCCCCACCAAGCTACCCTGCCACAAAATCCCAGCAGCTCCAGAGCAGCCCCCTGCCATGCGCCCTGCCAGCACAGCTGGGGCTGGTTTCCATGTGGCCAGGGGCTGCTGGGAAATGGACTCCACAGCCAGCCGGACTTTGCACACCTCTGTGATAGGCCTATAAAGGAATGGACAGCACTAGCTCCCTTCTCCCCTTTTTCTCCTATACTCTCTGGTGATGCTTCTAAATAAAGGATGGATTGTGCTAACAAGTTGGTCAAGGAAATTTGAAAATAGGTCAGATTGTGTCATTCTTCTTTCACCCACAGTGAAGTTCATCTTGCTGCTTCATTCTAGGCAGCCCTTCTCTAGGTGGAGTTTAGAGTTTGAATCTAGAGACTGCTCCTGGAATTTAAGGAGTATATTCATTTAATACCTGCACCTACAGTTATGGAGGGGACATTTTAGATTGTTTAAATATAAAACTTGAATTGCATTTACTGCACTCTCTGCCATGGGGACACTATAGCTCCACTTACAGTCTAATAACCAAGCTTGGTTAGAAGTGAAAGAGTCATTGGAAATGTTACCCTTCACTCCCTGACCCAAACAACTCATGTTTTATGTGATGCTGCCCAACAGGTTCTGGCAGAACTCAAGGAATATGCTACTGAGGTGGATGTTGACTTTGTCCGTAAGGCTGTGCGAGCAATTGGACGATATGCCATCAAGGTTGAGGTAAGTATTTGGCATTTGTTTCTAGACTTTGCTATGACATGTGCAACAGCACAGTTTTTGAGCTCTTTGGCAACGCTGATGGATTTCCCTCCTCTACCCTGCATGGTGGGGAAGGCTCCTTATCCCGGTCTTAAAGATTAAATGACTTGCTTATGGTTATACATGGGTCTGTGCCAGAGTCTAAGATGGAACATGAAAATCGTGACTTTCATTTCAGTGCCTTAGAGGGGATGGTCTTATGATTCTCTTGGATCTTGAGGTCGTGGTGGATGCTTAGCTGATATAAATTGCCATCACTCCACTGGCTTCAGTAGAATAATGACAATTACCCACAATGGCTGTGAGCTGGCATTTGCGGAAGGGAAAAGAGAGACTGTGTTTATTGCATAAAAAAGCAGAAAAATGTTTCTCTAAAATGGTTGATGGCCCCAGATGCATTTGAACAAGAGCTTTGAGAAGTGTTGAAGATTTGTTATTTTTCAGTATTCAGATTTGAAGTCCCCCATCCTCGTCCTGCCCTTTAGATCATTTAGTGTTCAGCTCATTTTGTGTTAAAGGTCTGTAAAACTTCTAGATTTATTTCAGCGTTCAACATTCCTTTTCAGTTTAAAGGCAGAAACTATTTTCAAAGGAAAACAGTAGGCTATATATTAGTTTACTATTTTTAGGCAAACTTGTACTTCTCAAGGGTTGGACAGATCTATGAAGAGAGCAGGGACTTGTGGTGTAAAGTCCTGGCTTGTTAAGCCACTGTAGATAAACTCATGCAAAGTACTATGTGGACACTTATGCTTCAAGTTAAATCAAACTTGTTTAAATTTAGCTCAAGTCGCTGTTGACTTTGGGAGCAGATTTAAGCGAACCCAAAACAAACCTGCCTTAAACTAAAGTGTCCACACACAGATTTGCACCATTTGCTTTCTTCTAGGGGATATGGTCCATTTGCTGCCTCCTGCCTTGCTGTCACCTAGTTCCTCTGGTCTGAATAGATTTTGGTTGAAGATTTTTACCTCTGTGGACTTCCCGCCACATGTCGGAGGCAGCAGAGGAGGTGATCTCCTGCCAGCCCATTTGCATTTCTAATTTTGGTGGATCTTTTCTAGTCAAATAATGAGAAGGAGACTGTTTAAAAACCAGCAACAGCAAACAATTGGGCTCCTGAGGCAGAAAGTGCTACCTCTGTAAAGGAGCTTGAACAGATCTGGAGGTGATGCATTTACAGGCTAGTATTCTCCAAATCTCTCACTTGAATCCACTCCAGTCCCTCCACATCAGAAGTTGATGAGCTAACCGGGCCCTCTGATTTCCACAGAATCAGGTTGCTAAGATATCAGGATGCTGTAGGAGGCCTCTTGCCTGCCCTCACACATCTGGTCTTGTGAGACTCATGTCCAGTATATGTAAGGACTTAATAAGATGCCTAGCTTATTTTCAGTGATAATTCTTTACCATATTACCATAAAAATGCACGTCCTAATAAGCAGAGTTAATTTTACTTTTAGCATCTTCTGAAGACTTTGCTTTTGAAAATTAAGGTCTGTTTATTTCTCTAACGATAGCTTGAAAAGAAGGCAATCTCAAAACAATCCACTATAGCATGTAAGAGGACTCTTGTCTCTGGGTTAATAGATACCTGTTCCCAGGGCAACAGAGTTTATTAGAGGCCATTTCCATCATGGATTGTAACTAATGGAGGGATCTCCTCATTCTCTGAGCCATCAAAGCTCTCAAGTTTTCGATGGCTTAAAAATCTTCCTGACACAGGACAGAGCCAGCAGGAACTCATGATGAATGAGAGTTCACAGGGAACCTCATCTCCGCCTGCAGGAATCCTGCCTTTTATCTAATTGTGTCTGTTCTAGGAGAGTAGATTCATGAATATATTTGTATCCACTGCGATCAGAGGCTGGGAGCAAATGCATTCCTCTAGTTTGGGAGCAAGTGCATTATCTGTCAGGAGTACAGAGAATTGTGTATTGGCTAACTCTCTGCAAGGCAAAAGAGAAACATGCCACCTGCAGCTATCGTCATAGGGATACAAATGAAGCATCAGCCCAGCCCCAAAACTTTCCATCAGGTTAGAGCAGACAGGCTAAACAAGACACTGAGTGCAAGTAGCAAAGCTAATGTAGTAAATACAGTGGGTGTGGGGGCATGGCAGGAGGGGTCAAATCCCATTCACAGTAAGACTTCCTCTGGAGACGTCAGCAAAAGTTCTCAGATAATTGCAGGAGTGGGATCTTTACAGTACAATTTACAGAATTGGGTTCACCTTTACTGGGTTGTGTTTGGTTTCTGTAGAACAGCAGCAATTTTGAATACCCCCTAGCTGGAAACTGCTTCTTTTCATATTGGCTCAGTTTCTACCTTTGCACTGCACAGTAGTCTGCCCCACACACACACCGTTTCTAAAGTGATATGTTTTTGTATGGAGTCTGCCTGCAGAAACCTGTCCCACAATAATAAATTCCCCCCATATGGCGAGATGCATCTTGCCAAGAGTCAAAGTAGAATTGCATGTCCTTCCATAGCAATTCCCTTATAAAGAGCTCCTCATGGTACAGATCAGTACTGTGTAAACATAGGATATTATCCCTGGCATAAGAGAGCATTCTGCAGACTGGTCAATGGGTCAGAATTACCCATATTAATTTGCTTGTCCTGTTCCTGGTGCAGTTCTCAGCACTTGGACAATGAGGTTTCATCAATTTCACCTTTAAGTTCTCATGCCCCACTGCATTGTTTGGACTGCAAGCAAAAATACTTCTAATGGCAAGCTAGGCTTTGTGCAGCTACTTTGAAAAGAAATCATACTGTTTTAGTACAATTATAACCCATGTTCCTTTAAGGTCAGGTAGGAAGAATGAAAAGTTCACCTTGTTTGAAATCAGGGAGCAAAGTGGAGCTGTAGAACTGCTTCATGTCCATCATTGCTATTGAACATCTGGGAAGAGATGAAATAACTCATCTGGATATGTCTTCCTTACTGGCTGAGCCTGTGGAACTCATTGAGATCCCAAGTGAACAGACAGCGCAAAAGTCCATCTGCATAACATTTGTAACCTGGAGACCCTGAGGCTTTTCAGCTTCACGGTCCTCAAATGATGGCTTCCCAAGCAAGCAAGAGAAGAGATCAGAGCACCCTGTTATCAAGGCAGACACCTTTCAATTACAAGGTTCCAGGTATTTTTCTTGCTGTCTTAATGGTGTGACACACACTGAGCAGTGCTGAGGAGGACACCTTTTGTATTCTGTGTGCCTCTGTAAGAGACATTTCTAGGTAGCCTTTTGTTTTCAGTGTGAGGCCAGGACAAGTATGCAATTGAAGGTGTGCCCCTTTTCTACCTCTTCCTATTGCCAGTGCTGTCACTGAGTAGGATGCTACACTTGGAAAAATGTCGTTTTCTTGGCTGGGAGGAGGTTCCTGGTCACTTAAGCCAAATGTCACAGGCTTGATTTATTTGCTGCCTGAGGTTTGTCCATGAGATTTTGCCAGTTCTCAAACTGAGCTTCTGATTTTGCTGTTTAATCCCCTTTGTTCCTCCTTACCACCCCCAAGCACTTCAAGATTGAAGGGGACTATTAGCTCACTCAAGTCTAAGATCCACCTACGTAGATATTGTCTGTACCCTATAATGTTTGTGTCTCTATACTGAATGCTCTGTGAATATATTTATGGTGGCTGCTTATACACTGCCTTGAGCAGTCTGTTCCTCACATTTAATCATTGGCTATGTAATGAGGCTTTATATGTACTCTGCTAACACCTCATTCTAGGCCCTGTTGCATCTGAGCCATTTATAGCTCTTGTGTGTGGCATCCTTTGCTAGTACCCCTCAGAGCATTGTCTTCCTGATTTTCCTATCTGCTAATGAATATAGCTCTACTACCTAGATATTCTGTTAGCACAGAGAGCATTCTAGCATCCAGTCTTACTCTGTAATGGTGCTTAAAGCTAAGGTTTCAAGCCAGTTAGTCTTTAAATTGTTCTAGCCATAGTTAATCTAAGAGAGGTATCTGGCCATAGAGTTAGTGAACCTACCCCATAGATACTGAAGCTGCTGTTCCATACTAAGTTTGTTTTGTGGTGCTAATCAGCAGGGAGCTGGGTTTTCTGTCTCCCACAGAAAAACGTAGTAAAACGAGGGTTTTCCTCCTTACTGGAGTAAAACATGGGTTTCTCATTTTAGCAGAGAAACCCAAGGATTTTACAGTTTTGCAGTGAGTTCTCTGCAGGCTGCCAGAGTTCCAGCCTGAAAGGGGCTGGGAGGAGCAAGAGGAAGGTGGTTAGGCAGGGGGTGCCATGTCATTGGCAGTGGCAGTCCCTCAAAGTCGAGGATGACATCCGTTAGGCTTGATGGGTCCTCAGGTGACTGAGGAGCCCAATTCTGGATGCATACATTCTTTTGCAATGGGGCATGGTGTTACACGGAGGAGTGGGATTCACAGTCCTGGGTTGGTCTCCTTCTCCTTCCTCTACTGCTGCCATTTCACCTTAGTATCAAGTTGTTGGGCCTCAAAGTGGTGTGCACCTTGGTGGACCAGATGGCTCCACACCGAACAGTCAGCAGTTTGCTCCTCCCAGCTGTTGATGTCAATGCCTATGTGCTTGAGGGCAACCTTGAGCGTATCTTTGTACCATTTCCTTCAGTCGCCCGTTGAGCATTGGCCAACAGAGAGCTGGGAGAAGAGAATCTGGCGAGGGAGGCGGTTCTTGGACATGTGTACGCGGTGGCCTGTCCATCAGAGTTGATTTCTCAAGAGCAAGGCTTTGATGCTAGTGGACGCAGCTTCACGGAGGACACTCGTGCTGGTCCGACGGTCCTCCCATTTGATCCCTGGGATTCGACACAAGCACCGCTGGTGAAAGCTCTCGAGGGTCTTAATGTGGTGTCGGTAGACAGTCCAGCTTTCACTGCAGTAGAGGAGGGTGGTCAGCACAACAGCCTTATAAAGCAGGAGCTTTGTTGACTTCCGAAGGTCTCTATTTTCGAAGACACATTGCCGCCGTCTTCAAACTGCGACACTGATGCAGTTGACCTGATGGTAGCCTGTTGAGAGAGGTGGCTGTCGAGATACAGAAAGTGCTCCACGTACTCCAGAGCCTCCTTGTCTACGTAGCTAGCACAAGAGATGTTCAGCTGGCTTGGGGAGGGTGAGTGGAGAACCTTTGTCTTGGCAACGTTCAGGAACAGGCCAAGTCTCTTATATGAAGTGTCAATGAGATCTAGGGTCACTTGCACATCCTGTGCAAAGTGACCCATCACACAGCAGTTGTCTACAAACTGAAGGTCATGGATGTCCTTGGTGGTGAGTTTCGTTTTTGCCCAGAAGTGCCCAAGATTGAAAATCTTCCCGTCCAGTTAATACTGGGTACTGACGCCAGATGGTGGATAATCTTGGATGAGGTGGATGATGACGGTCAGGTAGATGGTGAACAAGCTGGGGGTGATCGCGCAACCTTGTTTGACCCCAGTCTGGGTGTAGAAGACGTCGGTTTCAGATCTTGCACTCAGGATAGTGGCAGTCATATCGTCATGCAGGAATCTCAGTATGGTGACAGACTTCAGCGGGCAGCCAAGGCATTGGAGGATGGTCCACACAGCTTCATGATTTAAGGAATCAAACGCCTTGGTCAGGTCAATGAAGGCGAGGAACAGTTCTTGATTTTGCTTCCGACATTTTTCTTGGATCTGCCTGGCAACGAAAACCATGTCTGCAGTGCCCCGGGATGGTTGGAAGCTGCATTGGGTTTCCGGAAGGATCTCCGTGGTGATGGGATGAAAGCAGTTCAGGAGGATGCGGGCCAGGATATTACCTACGGTGGACAGGATAGAAATCCCCCTGTAGTTCCCACAGTCAGATTTGTCTCCCTTCTTGTGGAAGGTCATGATGATGGTGTTCTTGAGATCCCCGGGGATGCCCTCTTTGTCCCAAAGGTGGAGGATAAGCTGGTGGAGTTGTGATGCGAGCCGGAAGCCACCAGCATGGTAGACCTCTGTGGGTATACCATTGGGCCCGCAGGCTTTGTTGGTTTTCATCTGTTGGATGGCCCGCTTCAGCTCTCCGATGGTTCGTGGATCACCAAGGGAAACCACCACAGGGTGTTGCGGGATGACTTGGAGAGTCTCCTCTGATACGGTGGACTCCCAGTTCAGGAGGAGTTCGAAATGCTCCTTCCAGCACAGATGGATGGCATCATCATCCTTGAGGAGCCAGGAGCCATCCTGTGATCGGAGGGGGTTTTGTCCAATGGAGCGGTGTCCATAGGTTGTCTTGGTAGCCTGGAAGAAGTTATGTATGTCATGCTGGTTGGCATAGCTCTGGATCACGCGCACCTTCTCTACCCACTAGTTGTTTTTCATGTCACGGATGCATCGCTGGACTTTAGCCTTCAGCTGGTGGTACACTGCTGTCTTTCGCTGAGTTTGTGGATGGCTTTGCCAGGTGATGAAGGCTGCACGCTTCCACTTGAGGAGGTTGCAGATCTGAGCGTCATTGGCGTCAAACCAGTCCTGGTTCTGTTGCAATGCGAACTCAATAGTCTGGGCGCAGGCGTCTTGGACAGCAGACTTGAGTTGCTCCCAGTGTGCCTGGATAGAGATGTCATCATTGCTAGGGACTTGCTCCGGTGTACTATACAACTGGGCCTGGAACTCCTCCCGCTGTAGAGGGGTACCAGCAGGGCTGTGCAGGCTGTGGGGAAGGTGTGGGGAGTGAGGGGCACCAGCAGGGCTGTGGGGTGCCTTTAATTTTAATCATGGATTTGGTGGGTTTTATTAGAGAATATGCAACTTTTTATCAGAGAACATGCAACTTTTTTATCGGGGAAAACCAGGATCCCTGCCATTTCTCCCTGTAGCTTTTACATTTTTCTCTTCCCCCAGCACATTGTACTAGTCCCCCTTGAACTTCCTTTCAATCCTGAATACTGACATGCAGCTCCTGCAGGGTGCTAGCCTGTTTTGTGTATTGGCTAGCAAGGGGATGCAGAAGTATTAATGCAGGTAGTGTCTGTTAATATCACTTTTGCATGTGTGCTGACCACTGGTTGGATATCATGTCAGAATAAAACCTTTTTTTTTCTTGTGACAAGCCCTTGAGTTAAAGGACAGTGTCTTTGTCCTGCAAAGTTTTGAATATGCCAGCACTAAGCTCCTATCTGCAAACTGTGCATGTGCTCAGGGCTGCTTGCTAGCCTTTGCCTCTGTTTTGGGCTTAGAAGTACACCTCAATTTTCAGATCATATACAACATGTGGGTGGTTTATTTGCTTTGCCTTGCGGCAAGTTGTTCTAAGACTACCATACTGCTTTTCTCCTCAGCAATCTGCAGAACGCTGTGTGAGTACCCTGCTGGACCTCATCCAGACCAAGGTCAACTATGTTGTCCAGGAGGCTATTGTTGTCATCAGGGACATCTTCCGCAAGTATCCCAACAAGTAAGTGAAAGTATTTCAGGCCTAAGGACCTGAGCAGCTAATGCCTTAAAGGACAACTGCCCCTATTTTGCTCAGTGCCCTGTAACTCAAAGCTCCCATCATTTGTGTAACTTCTCCAACTTTAATGGATAAGGTGGCTCTCTTTCTGAAAAGTGGACTATTCTAATCCAAGAATGTGGTACCCTAGTGTTGCTAATAGATTGCTCTTTGACACAGTATATATTTGAGTGGGAAGAGTTTTCCTCCATACAGATGTTTAGTTTTCATTAAGTACAAGTTAATTAAAATCAATAAAATTCTGATTTTCTGGTGGGTACATTGAAGCACTGACCTATCTTACAGCATTAGGCTCCTGTAATTGCTAGCGTCTGACGGGTGATTTTATAAGCCACCTCCAGCAGAAGGGTCACAAACTTCAAAACATGTTTCACCTCCGAAGAGTTCAGGGTGTTGTTTCAAACAAACTGCTCCGTTTGTTAAATGTTACCATGGGCTTAGCCTTCTGTTTTCATAGTTTCATAGTTGGTAGGGTTGGAAGGGACCTGAGGAGATCATCTAGTCCAATCCCCTGCTGTGGCAGGAAAGAATACTGGGGTCAAACGACCCCGGCCAGATGGTCGTCCAGCCTCATTTTAAAGACATCCAAGGTAGGAGCCAGCACCACTTCTTTTGGAAGTTGGTTCCAGGTCCTAGCCGCCCTGACAGTGAAATAGTGCTTCCTAATGTCTTAATGTCTAGCCTGAAACTGCCCTCCGCTAGCTTGTGTCCGTTGTTTCTTGTAACTCCCGGGATTGCTCGGGGGAACAGGGACGCTCTCAGTGCCTATTGGTCCCCCTTGACTAGTTTGTAAACGGCCACTAGATCCCCTCTCAGCCTTCTCTTTTGGAGGCTGAACAGGTTCAGGTCCCTCAGCCTCTCCTCGTAGGGCCTGCCCTGCTGCCCCCTGATCATGTCGGTGGCCCTCCTTTGGACCCTCTCCATATTGGCCACATCCCTCCTGAAGTGTGACACCCAGAATTGGACGCAGTACTCCAGCTGCGGCCTGACCAGTGTTGCGTAGAGGGGGAGGATCACCTCCTTGGACCTGCTTGAGATGCATCTGTGGATGCATGACAAGGTATGGTTGGCCTCCCTGACTGCATCCCCACACTGTCGGCCCATGTTCATTGTGGCATCAATGATGACTCCAAGATCCTTTTCTGTCTCAGCACTGGCAAGCAGGGAGTTCCCCAGCCTGTAGGTGTGTCGTTGGTTCTTCCTCCCCTTTTATTTGAGGGACTTGTGTGTGTTCAACTAGTACAGCAGCATCTTTCAACTGAGATGTGAGGATAGATGAGTAGCAAAGGGTATACATACATCTTCAGGCCTCTATGGCTTATCCTGCTGTCAGTTGCAGGGAGACTCACTACATGCCATAGAGGTACCCCACCAGAGCTGTGTGCTGATGCCAATATTAATTTTAGTGCTAAGCTATTGAGGAGGTATTGATACCCTGGTTAAAAATCCCAGCCAGGAACAGCAGCCAGTGAAAAGGCAAGACCTGATAAAGATTCAAGAGAAGTGACTGAGCTTATTTGACTTGTTGGAGCAAAGATACCTTTTATTAAGGAGACAAATATGGCGAGTCTGTGTCTTGAGTTTTATCTCCTACATA